TCTCCCTCATCTCCTCTCCCTCTCCTCACTCTTCTTCCTCAGGCCATTTCCTCACACACGAGCTCCTCCACCAGGACCAGCTTGTGTCTACCTTAAGCCCGTGTGAGCTGGAAATAGAAGTCAGCGATGCAGCTCACACATCCAACCTCCCCAAGGCCACTGCTCAGCTTTGCCCACCTTAGGAGTGCACCTGCCACAGGCCGCCCAGGCTCGTGTGCCCAGACCCGTCTGTTTGCTGCTGACCAAGTCAAAGGAGACCGTGTATTGGAGCGAACAGGGAAAGAGATTTGTTTAAAGCTAGCTCTGAGGAGGTGCAGGGGTGCATTTGCGTCAGATCCCCATCTCTCCATTTACTGGTGGGCAAGGCTCTTTTATAGCTGATGGGGGAGGGGTGAGATTTTTATACTAGTTTGAATCACTTCTAGCCATTTTTAGCTCATTTTCTATTTTCTTTTTTGTAAAAACCAAACTAAAGTGTTGGCTTCCTGTGGCTGACGTTTACATATGTTGTCACTTTTGGGGGAGCCAAGACAGCAGGTGGGGGCATTGACCATGTACTCAACTAAAAAAAAGTTTAGAAAAGTTATTTATACTTTAAAAACAAACAAAGTTTCAAAATGTTTTACTTCACAGTGCTGGTTACATTCAGAATTTGGCGCTTGGAAGGCTGAGGCAGGGCATCAACAGTTTGTGTCCACCTGAGCTACACAGCAAGACCCTGCCTCAAAAACAAATAGGCACAGCATGCTTACATCAGCCTCTCATTACACTAAATCAACTCTAATAAGGCCTATTTTATTTTTAATTAAGTTTATTGGTAAATTTTAGGTGTACACAATGGGCACATTTGTCATAGGGAATTTGCACCTGTACATGATGTATCTTGACTTTTTCTTCCCCCGCCCCTCTATCCTCCCTCCAACCCTTCTTCTCCTACTTCTTTACAAAAGCTTTGTTTCCATTTTTTTCTCTTCTCATTTTTTTTCCTTCCTTCCTCCCCCCTCCTACCTCCCTAGTTCCCCTTCCCAGTGGAACATTTTCTTCCTGTTTTACAATATGTATTGCCATGAACCGGCATGGTTCTTGGTGTCCCCAGGGAAAAATGACAAGAGGATGAAGAAATTAATATAAGAGATGAAAGCTGAGGTCAGATGGAGCCCTTTCTCTCCAGATGGGAGAAAAGGAACGGCCCAAGGACTGCAGAGGTTGATTTATACACTCAGGAGGTTGCTGTCAATTTTAACCTCTCTGCCTAGCAACCTGTTTCAAGCTGGAACAGCTTGTTTACATGGCTCAAGAAGCTCTCTGTGTTCTCAGGAGCCATCTTTGTCTTAGCCGCACATGTGCGATTGATTTCCAGCTTCAGCTGCTCCCTACATCTCCTCCTTTTCTGTTTTGTATTTGCAAGTGATGGGTGGTCAGCTGAAGTTGGAGGAGCTGTGTTTGGAGAATTCTGTAGAAGACCTTCTCATTCTTGAACCCTTTCTGTTCTGAGTGAACTTATTTGTTTAAGCCAAAGATTCCCAGTCCAAAGATTTTAGGTACCTGTATTTAGCCAGTTAACCTTATACAGACCATTAATCCATAACAGTGGTCACTTACCAGTATAGCTGGCAATTGTCAGAAGTTGCTAGTGATTTGAGTTTTTTATAGGTAACATATTATTATGGCATTTTTTAAAACACACCTTGTGGTTATACTTTTTTTGCTAGACGATTAAGATCGAGTTAAGGTGAGACCTGTATTAATCAGTTTTTGCTATCTATCAAGGTCAGTTAAGTATCCTCAGGACTTACCTTGGAACCAAGTATAGCACCTCTTAGTTCTTCTGTCAGTGTCAGCCATCTGGATGAGTCATGGTTGTTGTTTGACCAGGTTGCTTTTTGTGAAAGTTTGGCAGATTTCTTTCTCTCCTTAGGCACACTACACATCACTGAATCACTTTCCTCTGTGGTCCCATAATCTCCTTGACAGAAAATCGGGGACTTAACTGAGTTATAACATGTCACAGCAGAGTTTCATTTATGTCCCGGGTCCTCAGTGACCTCGGAGGGCTAGAGCTAAAATATTGGCTATCCTCTTAGCCCATCCATCTCTCTAAATTTTGGTCTCCAAACCTCAGTTGTTGAACATCCAGGAGAGAAGATTAATGACATTCATTGTAATGGAGGTAGTGAGCTTACTATTACTATTTTATCTGAATATCAAACACCTTAGAACATACAATGGAACTGTTATTTTCTAACAAGCATGGATATTCTAATACTCAAATCCCTATAGAATGTTAACAGACAACAGTTACATATTTTTACAGAGAAATTTAGAAATCAAAACCATACATAACATTGCAGCATGACAATCAGGATGACATTTTGTAACATACTTAAATTTTCATTTCGACATAACATAATCCTTTTTTTTTTTTTTTTTTTTTTTTTGGTTTTTCTCCGGTACCAGGAACCGAACTCATGACCTTGCGCTTGCCAGGCAAGCGCTTTTGCCGCTGAGCTAAATCCCCAGCCCCAACATAATCCTTTTAACCAGTCATCCCTATGTAATACATAAGAAGCTTTTACCTAATTTGTTATCCTTTAATGGGATATACACCACAAGTTTTTTGTTAAATGCAGAGGATTGAATCTGAAAAAAAGTCTTATCACCATAAGCAATCCTTGTTTTACATTTTGGAAGACCTGTACTTATGGAGTCATGAATACATTTAATACACCATGAGATTAACAATAATAAATAGTCATACATATGTGAAAACCTTTGCTTCTTAATTTAGTTTTGTACCAAAGCATCTTTTATGAGAAAATCTTACTGTATTTTTTCTACAAAACTTAACCTTTTAACCATGAACAAATTATTGGGGGTGTCTCCCATAAGACTATGGAGATAATTGGGTGTTCCTTATTAATGAACAAATGTTGGTCACTCCTCTATTCACCAATTGGAGTCCTGTCCAATAATCTCTCCCCACCCTAAGTGACTTGTTTAACGATCTTAATTTTTTTTGATGACCTGTGAGAAAGTTAATTTTGATATCATTTAGACAGCCGGTAACCCAGGTGGAAGCATGCTTTTAATCTATAAAGCAAATTGTATTATGAACAAATGATCAAAAATGCAAAAGAAAAAAGGAAAAGAGAAAAATTGTTGAGCTCAAGTAAAAAGGAACAGCTATTCACAGAATGGACAGACAAACAAACAAGTACACAGTTTAACAGGTTGAACAAACAAACAAACATCTTACAAAATCAGAATGCAAATATATTTTTGGCCAAATTGAATTATAGTAACTCTTTTACAATTTTAGAATTTATAATTATAAATGGACTAGTCCGATTTTGTTGTTCATCAACTAGCAGAGATCTCTTAGAAGAATTTGGAAGGATTAAAATCTTTTATCTATAATTAATATACTTTTTATATGTCATTCTGTCTTAAGAATATCGGCAATTTTTAGATCAGTTATCTCTATAAACTCTATCATCTACTCAGACCTTTGATTCCCATTTTAGTTACCACATCCTGGGCATTCTGTGTTAATTCATTGGTTGGCCCCAGGTCAGGTTTAGCCTGATTGTAGAGCAGTCTTTGAGGCATCACTGTCACAGAACTGTGCATCAGCTTTTTGAAACGTAAAATCAAGTTCTCCAGGTCTGAGTTCAGGATGTAGCCAGACAGCATGCTCTAGCAAAACACAAGCATATCCTTGACCCCAAATTAGCTTTTTTCTGCTTTACCTGATTGAACGGTTACTAGTATACACTGCCAAGTGAGGTGGGAGGGATTGATTCTCCCCTTGTTTTTGTAATTAAACTTTGAGCATTACAGAGAGCCACATTAACTTTATCTAAGGCAGTTTTAGCCTCTGGCATAAGCACTCCTGGGAAGGTGGGAGCTGGATTTCCCCTAAAGATGTCAAAAGGAGGACCTAAATCATGAGTAGTTGGTTTAAGAGCTGGGCAAAGCCAATTAATATTACCAAGTAAAGTCTGAAAATCAGTTAGGTTTGCAAAATGATTAACCTGGATCTGAACACTTTGGGGTACAATATGTCTTTGTTGGATAAAGCGACCCAAATGTGAAAAAGTTACCATAGTTTGCACCATTTTGGAGGCCACCACTAGGCCTGCCATTATTTAGATGGAACGTTAAAATTAAGCAACTCGAGCCAGGTGTGGTGGCACATGCCTGTAATCCCAGCACTTGGGAGCCTGAGGCAGGAGGATCATTGGAAGTTTGAGACCAGCCTCGGATACAAACTGAGCTCAAGGCCAGACTGAGCTGCATGGCAAGAATCTGTCTCAAAAAGATTAAAAAAAAAAAAAATTAAGGAACTGTTTAAACCTCAGTGTTTTCAGATTGTATTTTCAATTTTTATAACTGTAAAATACCAAAAGTTTTCTTTTTTTTATTTTAAAGAGTAAAAGAAGGGTAACATAGTAATGGGGGTGCTTACCAAATTACAGACAAAGTAGGGGCTGGGGATATAGCTCAGTGGCATAAGTGCCTGCCTGGCAAGTACAAGGTCATGAGTTCAATCCCTGGTACCGCAAAAAAAAAAAAAAAAAAAAAATTACAGCCAAAGTGGTAGGAAATTATCAATGGTTATTGTTTTACATATTGTTATCTACAAGATAGTTACCAAAGGTTTTCTACACCAAAAAAATTTAGGAATGTCCACCTCCTCATAGAAACAAAAAAACAAACACACACAAAGAAAATTTTAAGACAAGATTCCCAGCAATAAACCATACAACTGAAAAAAGGAAAACAGAAATCAACCATAACAGGAATCAAGAGAACACCAAAGACTTATAAAACATTTTAAATCAGTAGCATAACCTATATATGATGTTAAGAAGAAAACTGTGATTACAGCAAGACAGTTTTTATTAGCTGTATAATCTAAAATCAGGAAATTTTTTACTATAACTCTAAAAGACCAAAGTTATCACTAAAATATACCTTTTTTGAGACAAGGGGCAAAATTTTTATTTATGGGAAATATGTTTTTTTAAGTAATCTTTTAAAATACCTCCATTAATGTAAATCTTAGGAAATATGATTTTTTCAACAAAAGGCAAAACATTTTTTATTTTGAGGATGGAGAGAGATAGTAAAGAAAAAAAAGTCTTTTAGCTCAATCACCTGAGGGAAAAAACGTAAAGGCTCTTTTTAGTGCCAATTGTAATGGAGACAGTGAAAGCAGCTCTATTCCCTGCCAGGCTCTATTCTCTGTGAGGCTGAAATTCCAACCTGTGACTCACCAAAGTTCTGAAAAGGCTGAGATTGCCACCTGTGTCTCAGTTAAAGTTATCAGGTTTTGTAATATGTCATGGTTCCATAGAGCGATTGGTACATGGGTGAGGATATAAAGTGAGAAATATCTGGAATGGCCTTTTGCATCCCTCCAGGTCAGCAATCTAGCACCTCTGCTACAGCAAGAAGCACCACCCACACCCTGTAGACCCGCAGCTGCTGTCACACCTTTAGGCCATCTAGTTTGTGTCTACAAGCCCTTTTAAATGTTTTTCTTTTAAGTAATCAGTTCTATCTTTGAACCCAATAGATATCAGAAGATCTAAAATCCTGTCCTTCCCTTATTTATAGATTTTCTAATTTTTACCAAGGGAAAAAATGACCAGTTGAGCAATACAAGAGTCTGGCGTGATTTGAGCAGTGTTAAGAAAATTGAGTCATAACTTTGATTTCTTTTTTTGTATTTGGGCTCCCTGCCTCTGGCTACGGCTTTCACTCCATTGCCGGGGGCTGGGCGAGCTGCCCTGCTGGCTGAGGCAGGATTGACCTGGGGATTGACCTGTCTCACTGTCTGGGATGGGCTCCATCTCCGCATTCCCCTCCCCAGAGGACATGGCAGTCACCGCCTCTGCAGCCACAGCCACTGCTGGCTGACCCCAGGCATTGGGCGCTGGATGCCCCGCTGCTGCCAGGACTCTGAGCACAGGCACTGCTGGTGCCATGTAAACTTTCGGTGCAAGAAGCATTCATGCAGGCGGCAGGGAGAGCCAAGGTGCACCTCAGTCATGTTCTGCCTACCCAGCCTCAGGTGCCCAGGCCTGTAGTTTCGCAGCAATGGCCTGCAGCTGCAGCTGGGCAGAACACAAGGGCTTGTGCAAGGGCCAGAAATCTCAGCTGAGTCTGCCTAGGACCGGAGCACAGGGTCACCCCTGTACCCCACCTGTGCTCCTCACCCCAGCGGCACCACGCTGCTCAGAACCGGCCATGTACAATTCTTTTTTTTTTTTTTAATTGTATCAGAAATCGAACTCAGGACCTTGTGCTTGCCAGATAGGCACTTGTGCCACTGAGCTATATCCCCAGCTCAGCCACGTACAATTCAAAAGAATTTCCTTTTTTGTCTCCCATAGTTTCTTCCTTATTTGATTGAGCAAAGCTAGAGGGTTTAAGTGCTATGTCCAGCAATGCAGTTGCTCCACACCCACCCCCCAATAGTACTCCAAGCCGAATCCTTTGTGGTCATCTCATAAAGTAAATACAGGAACCACGAGTACAACAAATATTTCTGTATACATCTATATACATCTGTGGTTCTTGAGACTCTGTTTGCCCCATGCCTACATCTTTTTCCTTTGGGCTTCTTCTAAGCCTATTTTAAAATTGTGGCTTCTCTTAAGTTTGTTTTATCTCTCTGGCCCTAATGAACCTGTTTCTGGCCCCAGTGAACCTCCATGCCCCAAGTTTTACACCTGATGAAATGCCAATACTGATGCACACCTGTGCTGAATATTGGCGTTACCAATACGCTTCTCCCCTCTATTGCGCAGACAATGAGAAGTGTCCCCTCCCTCACCCACTGTCTTTCCTTACCCAGGTCCCTGTTCAGTTGCCATTTTGCCGCATCCTCCACAGCTCTTGATGTT